GGCCGCCGGCGACTTTATCCTCGACGTAATTTGCTACTACTCGGTCCACTACACGGTGATGTTAACGTTGTCGAGGACTCGCCGAGTCTGCTTGCGCATGATTTATTTAAAGTCCGCGGGCAGCCAGCCGATTCACGGATTATTTCTCCAGTGTTACGGCTACGTTTTCGCCGATGTGGCTATGTTCGATTTTCCTCGACAGCTGCTAAATTTAAATATTGCTGTTGTCCATTGAACGAGGAGATGAGATTCCATGGCTATTATTATGCATTAGACGATTAAAGTTGCTTTATTATTTAATGCTTCGTCGCGCTGTCGAATTTTAATTTATCCTTTCATTTGGTTTGGGAACGACAGTTTGAGAAACTATGGTATATCGATCGCTCGGCTCGTTCTTTTGAATTTTCATCGCGTTCGTTCGAAATTTTATGAAAAATATCATCTTGTTTGCCCTGTGTTATTTATACGCAAAAACGAGGTAAATGGAACGGCAGTTTTTACGTTGATGTTAGATCCATTGTAGAAACTTGCTAGTATATGGCATGAAGATTAAAAGATTAAATAATCATGGGCAGCTTATAAATAAACAATTGACGCTTGAAATGAAACTGAATAATATTAATGATCAATTTATTTTACATTAGCATTGAAAGCGTTAAGATGAACGTGTAAGAGTTTTTTTGTTTTTTTGTTTTGTTTTGTTTTCTACAAATAATAACAGAAGGATCAAAATTATTTTACCGATAATAATACTTGTTTTCCCGCTTATGATATGCAAAATGAAACGAAGAATCTATTGATGCCATATTGGCAAACATTCTTAATAATATAATTGACAAAATAATGATTTTGCAACAATTCATTTGTAATAATTAACAATTTATAGAATCAATGCCGTAACACGGCCTTTAAAAATATGATTTTTGAAAAGGGCAAAGTAGAATTTTATTCGCTTCTTTATATCATTAGCGTCGTTCGTTGCGTTTATTGTCAATGAGTGAATCTATATATATATATATATATATATATATACTCTATGCAAATTGAATTCCCTCGCATTTTCACGAGATCAGCATTAACTATCTAATAATATCCACTGATGAATTAATCATCATTAAAATTGCGCACAAACTCATAGGTCTCAATATTGAAAATAGTTTTGTTGCTTAAGTGTAGTATTAGAGACTGACGTGGTGTGGATTCTCATTGTCACATTGCCTAAAGTCGAGCGAGCGAGTGATAAATCAAATTTTCAACTCCATATCGATGAAATTAGATGAGAAAGTTTCATAGTAAAGTATACGACATGGACAGTTGTATGAGGACGCATTTTACAAACGTGTTTGCCCAATTCCCAAGAAGCTCCTCCGCGCCGTCACAGATCCTCATTAACCAGACGAAAACAATGTCGCAATGCTTTAACCGTGGATATTTTAATATAACGTCGACCGAATTTCATTTTCTGCTTTTCCACGGAACGCTTGGCTCCTATGCGCAACAAGGCCACACGACCACTGTCACAACTCAATTAATGTTGCCCGCCCGCGTGTCTTTAGCGCCGAAACGCCTCCTTCCGTTCACTCATAAAAGACTTCGAATTTAGAATCCACATCAAAGACTATGACTTACCAATTAAACACTCCTACTCCTATATACCTGGGAGAGTCGCCGTAACGGAACGTCGGCCTCGCTTAATGACTCGAAAGCTCATAAAGTAGTGGGAGAGTTTTCCATCTAGACCAGTGGGATATTATATTTAGAGCGGCGGTAAAATTAGAAGAAAAAATGTTTTCCATTTTTCCGGACTGCCCGACTCTGATCTGGCTTTATATATCGCACAGCAGCAATCGACGGAAAAAAAAAACAAAAAAAAAAAAACCAAAAGAACAAAAGAATGTACAAAAGTACGTGGTTTTGTAGCAGGGAAAGAAAGATGCGAGTGGTCGAGCCAATAGAAATAAGAGGCCGAACGAAAGCGCGTCTCGTTGAAGTTCCGAAGGGCACGTGGCGCACAACCGCGATGACTTCCCGTGAAGTGGGACGCGCGCGAGTAGTTGCGGTCAACCGTGACGTCATCGGCGCGATTCAGCATCCAGTGCTCCAGGGCTCTATGCCACGCCCCTGGGCCCAATGTCACCTTTGCGACCGTTACCATTGGCTTTGGCACTGCAGCGGAAAATTCCGCTCCTTTGAAATATGGAGAGTGCGGTGATATATATATATATATATATATATATATATATATATATATATTTTTTTTTTTTATGGTTATGACGATCCGAGGCTTCGAGAATTTAATTAATGTTGAGATAACTAACTATTGGTTGCAATTGTCCGGCCCGAAGATGATTATCCAAGTAGAGACAGCCTATATATTACGTTGTACACAATTTTATCAGGCTGAATTGCAATTATTATCTGCAACTGATATCCCATCGGTAAGCATTGAATTTTATAATAATTGAATCAGTGTCTGGTCTTTTCCCAAGACATTCGGCTTTTAAATGTTTTGTCGAATCAGCAGTACAAAATTACCTCGCGCTCGACAAATTATTAGCGAATGAGCAATATACTTTAATAAAAGAACTTTAGTAAAATATACTTTTGCGTTTGTGTGTGCGTGCGTGCGTGCGTGCGTGTGCGTGCGTGCGTGTGCGTGCGTGTGTGTTTGTGCGTGCGTGTGTTTGTTTGTGTGTGTGTGTGTGTGCTTGTTTGTGTGTTTGTATTTGTTTGTGTGTGCTTGTTTGTTTGTTTGTTTGTTTGTTGGTGTGTACATATACATTATAGAAATAGAAATTCATGAAGCTCGATAATTATGAAATACGATGACACAAACTCTATAAGTATAAGTAAAATATAAAAATTATTCTTACTCAATAATTCGGGGAAATTTATTCATTATTTTTTTCATTATTTTCTTATTCGTTACTTTCTTTCATTCATTACTTCATATTTCTTTATTCATTACTGAGATATATATTCGAGGAGAAAAGGCAAAATGCTCATAGAGTTCTCGGACTTTATGATTTATGTAACAAGTAATTGATTAAACTCTTTGCGCATCAATTTTTTACTTCGCTTTATTCACGTCTCGTAAAATTTGGGTAAATATAATAAATTCGATATACTTTTCGGATTCTCCATGTTAAAGATCGATTTGCAAAAACTATAAGATTATCCTACAATATCGAGATCAATTTTACAAGATTTTTTTATTAATTCAAATAATGTTATGAGGACAATTAAAAAGTGTAAAATTACTTTTAGAATAGAATTATGAATGTCTGGGAGCGTTGGCGAGACTTGATATACCGTGTGTAGTAAAAGTTTGCATAATGTTATTAATAATCGCACACAATAGTTAGCCGTTCTTTAATGATATTTATAGAATTCTGTCAATCGCTTAATATAGAGGATCGACCGTGGATAAATATGTATGCGAGTGTCGATTGCTTTTTATTTATTTATTTATTTATTTATTTATTTATTTTTGTATTTATTAGTTATGTTTTTTATTTTATTGAAATTTATCAGATGTAATTGTTGAACAATTTTGTCTGCCCAGTCTCATTTTTGAGTTAACATTTTCAATTGCTTAGATGAAAGCATCGCTATAGCAGCTTTATTAAATTAATTGAGCACTATCATTGTTTAATGAAAAACACGTTAAATCATAAATTCTCTGGTTTGCACCGACGCAAAGAATTAACTTTCACAATTTATTAAAAACTATAGAGAAAATATCAAATCAAAAAATGTTTTGTTTTTAGAATTCGTGGCGTCTTCAACTTATTTGATAACCGTTTCATGGTAGACAGACTTGTAACGTATTGCCTCGAATTAAATGCAAAACGTTTTTAAAACGAACACGCCACGAGCCATTGGAATATATATATATATATATATATATATATATATATATATCAAAAATTTGATATACCAGACGAATTTATGAAAATAATGCATGACTTTTTGAAAAACTTTATTTTTCACTTATTACATCCTGGCTCATCAAAGGCATTTATTTAGCGCTAATTATAATAATGCATTTGCTATATTAGATGCCTTAATAAAAATTTATTTTATTTATATAAAAGATATAGTGAGTTATAATTAAATCTCGAATAAATCTCGATGAGAGAAAGCTAAATTATTGAAATACTTGAAATAGATGAAAAGTTTTAATGAAAATTTCTTTATTTCTTTACTATGCAAAATTTTATACAAAGCATAAGCATGCTTTTCGGCTGTATTTTTATTTCAACTTTGGCAGTGTTTCATATCCTCTTTGTCTTCTTCTTTCTCTGCTCTCCTTCCTACATTGAAAATATTCCATCGGTTAATCCATCGGTACATGCTTTTATTGCTTTCTCGCTCTTATTTCTGCACGCGAGTGCAGATTATTCGCGTACGCGTCTTAAAACTGCATTTTGGCAGCCTTGCTTATTAGACCATCTGGCAAATTAAATACATTAGGAAATAAATTAGCAGGCCTTTTTCGTTAGTAAAATGTCATTTATATTAAGCAATCGTTGCCAGCGTAAGCAATTAATCATTGGTTATTAAATAATAATTTATCGTTGGAAATGAATGTATGTCCTTTGGGATCTGAACGTTCGATTCGGCTGCTTTTAACCGAAAGTTTTTCTTTCAAAATTCTACTGGCAATTACCTCTTAAATAATTATCCCTTGTGCTTTAATCGAATTTACAGGAATGTAATTATTTACTACGCTCCATGCCATGTCTCGCGAGACAATTTGAATTCAATTTGAGCAAATTGAAACAACAATCAATCCATTAACGCTGCAATTTTACTTATATAACGAACAATGAATTAATACTTATTAATTATAAAATAATACTTCGATAATTTATTTAAATGCGTGTCTTCATCCAAGTCTTTTGAAGTTTTCGTCTCCATGACACAGTAGAATAAAAACTATAATAGACATGCCCTACCTCTCTCCATTAAACACAATTTGATATCATAATTATCGATGTGACAAGATTTTGTTATTCGTAATGTTCGGCCCTAGACAAGTCATAGCGCGCGTCTTAGAAATTTTTTCTTCAAATTTGACGCCATTTTATCGAGCAAAATTTCTAATACGAATGAATTGGCAGGAGGAGGCGATGATTAGTACGCAATAGCAGACAGATGTTTAAGGTCAATAGGTACTCGACTAATAACAAGTCACTGCTGTTTACAATAACGGGCCGAAGAATTCATTAAAAATGTCGTCCGATGAAGAGATGGATGAGTTACGTGATTTAGAAAACTTACGAGAGCAAATAACGAACGAACAGCTTAAAGGAGATCGAATGCAAGTCAGTGCTTGGGACGATGACGAGGAAGGGATCGAAGAGACTAGAAATGCTAAAGGTTAGATTCTCCATTGGGGAACAAGTTGGCTTATCGATATGTTTCTTTTATCAAGTCGATGTATTTTCAAGGGGCGGAAAATGATAATTTAATTGAAATAATTGCGGAATAAGTGACAATCGCAATATTTAATTTAATCTATGTCGTCTTGACAGAACAGTGAGTGTACATTCCTCAGTGTTTATCGACATGTTGTATGTCTTCTTTGCAAAATGGAGATTATGATTTTTTTTTTTTTTCAAAATACATAATAAAAGTGTGCGCAGTCACAATTGATTCGATAGATGTTTAAAAGACTTGTAGAGGAGTAATTAATTATGTTCCGATAGATAACATTCTACGAGCGTCTGCTTACGTGTTAAGAAATTGAGATTTGTCAAATTGTCTTTTAATGTCAAATTAATAAGTTGAGGTGATAAGAGTTTCAAATATTTTCAAGTCAAGGCATGAAAATTTGTTAGGACAGTTAGCTTAAGTATTAATATAAAGCTAAGAAATATATATATATATATATATATATATATACGGGTGTGTGTGTGTGTGTGTGTGTGTGCGTGCGTGTGTGTATTCTCTCGCAAAAAACTTTTGAATATTTAATATGATCGTTTCAACGTTTAAAATTATAATGTCCATTTTCATGGTAATAATTGCATTTTTTCAGTATTTGCAGGAATAGAAACATTTCACCTTTAATTGCATCTTCAATTTAAGTAATACTGTTATCTACGAGAGCGGAATTGAAAATAACTCGATTATTCGTCGAGCCATATTTTATATTCAAGCGTGAAAGAGATGTTCAAAGAGGTTCAAATGCCAAGCGATATTGAGGAGAGAATAAGATGGGAAAGGAAATTTATAATCGAATACTAATGTTATCAAAACTTGTTTATAGATCCTATTCAAAAAGCGGTTTTAGAGGCAGGTGAAAATGGACAGCTGGATGTGATGAAACGATATCATGCACTAGATCCTTCTGTTATCGATTGCGCCGATAAAGACGGTTACACTCCACTTCACAGAGCATGTTACGGTAATCATACTGAAGTAGTCGAGGTAAAGCTTTATCAAATTTACATTAATTATACGATGTTTCTTTTTTACTTGTGAGCTTGTTTCAGTTTTTATTGAAGTCTGGTGCAAAAATTGATGCCAAAACTCAAGATGAGTGGCAACCGTTACACTCGGCGTGCTACTGGAATAATGTCGATTGTGCTTCTATTTTAATACAACACGGGGCTGACATAAATGCTAAAAGCAAGGGTGATCAAACTCCTCTACATTTAGTATCCGCTAGCTCTCACAATTCTTCCTGCTTACAACTTCTTCTATTACATCCGGACATAAATCCACATATCAAAAATTCTAGTGGTGACACAGCGTATGAAATAGCAAAGCGAAATGGAAAATATTATCCTATGTTTGAGATAATTGATCCATGCTTAAATGAAGTATAAGTAAGTTTTGTACATTTAAATTTAGTTGTATAATTACTTTTATATTAATACTGTAGTTAATTAAAAGAAAGAATTAAAATTATTATTCTATTATATTTATTGAAATATCACTTAAATACAATAAATAACTTTTATCAAATTATCTTACAATTTTAGGGATACGTAATATATATATATATATATATATATATATATATTTATATATAAATAATAATAAATGCAGTTATGAAATTTTAGTCTTGCCAAAAACATACAATACAAAAAATTTAAGTGATTAATGAAACGTTGTTAAAACAAAAAATGGATATTTAACTTATAAAAACAAATGATAAAAATAATACTTTAGTATGTACTTTGTTCATTCGTAAAATACATTTTGATGCAGGTAAAAATGTATTTGGCAATAAAGGACCAAATATCGCATTTACAGGCATGGCGCTTCATTTACATTTCTCACAAATGAAAATTGCATATTTTGCCTTTCCACATAGCTAATAACATCAAGAATGAAGTTATTGATAATTAATTATATTTTAAACGTATTTTATTCAAATTCAATCCTAACGATTTATTTTTCAAGTTTATCAACAACGTTATTAAGTTTTTGGGTCTTTTATCAGTCTTGATATCTTTTTAGTTCTGCAATTAAACCTAAAAAATTCGTGTCATTATATCAAAACTTTATTGGCAAAAGCCATGAGAAACCACTCGGATGAAAATTATTATAATGTACATACAATTTTCTTCATACTTGCTTCCTTCAAAAAGCACTGGTAGTTCGATCTCCACGACAATATAGGTCTCGACCTAATAATACTCGGCTAACTTACAATAGAGGCCGAATGAAACGATTTTGGCTTAACAAAATGCTTCGACATTTATACCAAATAAGTTGACATAAAGAAATAATATCCTTATCTTCTGAATGTTGTTGAAAATATTTCGAATTACGTTCAAGTAGTTAGTATTATTGTATTATATTTCCATACGCGAGGATTTGGATTGGGGTTCACATTACTTTATTTTAATATTGTAAATGTAAGAACCTAACTTTGGCATCCATAATATATATATATATATATATATATATACACACATCCATACATATATATATTCAGAAAATTTCTTACATTGGTTGAGTCGAATATTCAACTTAAACGACGTAACAATATGTTACCAATCTGTAACGCTGATTATTCTTTAATAACAAAGAATTAACATTTGTATTTATGTACCGAAATTTATCGATTTTCCAGAACAAATTAATTATATAAATATATACATATATATATATATATATATATATATATATATTTATATACACACATATATATCTGTGTATAATTGCATTACGTACAGTGCCGCAATGATGAAATATGCATGTAATGCTTAAATCTGTTTATATCTCAAGACAAAAATATATTAATTTCGAATTTTCGAAGAACAATATAGCTCTTATTGATACTAATATTTCTCAACGTTATCCATGTGGACTTACATCGTATAACAGTATATTTAATAGTAATAATGTACTTGAAAATCTCATTTGCGTTATATCTGAAAAACTATTATTATGACAAACATTTGTATGACAATATTGTTAATTGCTTCAGTACGTACTTCATTGCAAAAGTACTGTTCCGAAGCTTTCGAATGGGATTAGAAACTATAAGAGTCCATGATGTACTTACTTCCTTATTCATTTCTAACAAATAGGAAATTAAAAATTACAGGCTCGCAAATAAAATTCATTATTACAATTAAAGCGTTGAGAGATTAACAAATTTAGGGGTACCATTATTTAATTTTCTAGTACCTTCCCAAATAATGACTGTACAATCTTCTGTCGCAGCATATAAATGATGCTGGTCGCACGACCAGGTTATTGCAATTATTGCTCCGCATCCTTTACCACTATTTATTTCACGAACCAATCTTAAATCCCAACTACTCCACAATCTAAATGAACATTTTAACTTTAATCAATAGCTTACATAAACATAATTCACATAAAAATAATCATTAATTTTAACAATAAGCTGATAAAATCAAGCTGATTAGAATTAAAATAGCAATTAAAAAAATAATTAAAAATCTATGTCCTCGATTGAGCATTAGTAATTTATTATATTATTTATTTATGTGATGAATTTATGTGAATAGTTGAACGTGCAATTAGGAATGGCTTTGATATCCCACCTGATTACTCCATTATCCAAACCAGCTGCAATAACATTAATGGAAACGCCTTCGACAGCATTGCTATAGCAAAGGGCCGTTATTCTCCTCCTTGATGATACGACACCAACCGATCTCGCATTAATAGTATATACTTTTAAATCTGATCGGTTTTCCCCAGTATTAGTTATAAGTAAATTCGACAATTGATAAACTACTGCAATATCTCCTAAGGTCTCACTAATCGATATTAGACTGACTGGATGACCCTGCTCTTTTGTAATGGACCTAACATAAATCAAGCTGGGGGAAACGTATTTTCATTAATTTTTTAATATCTCAAGTACTTGCTGGACGGGCAGTTTGGTGCACTGCAGCATGTTATATACCTGTTCAAATCCCATATGACTAAAACGCCTTCGTTATCGCCCGAGACGGCAATGCTAAATGCTCGGGATAATTCAATGGCAATGACGCGTTTTCTGTGAGCAAGCAGAACGGACGGCGATGGTGAACTAAATTCTATTTTTCCAGTTGTACCGACAGTACATGCGTAAACTACTATTCGACCAGACATATATCCGATCCAAAATTGTCCGCAGTCAGGCGACGACTTCATTACAGTGATCTTAAAACATTTGCAATTATGATAATATCATTATTGTCGAAAATGTGGATAAAATACAATTGAGACATTAATTAAAGGCAATTATCCACGACTCACGGGATCTAAACCAGAGGACTTTATAAGTGGTCTTGGTGGTTGTTCCTTTTTAGTTTTAAGTCTTGCGATTCCATCCGTACTGTGCCAGGATGCCAATGCCGCGCCCAGGACTGATGTGCTACTAAGCATACTAGCGCCTTAAAAAGTAATTAGCGTGTAATTTAGTAAATACAACAAAATAAGGAGGGAAAAAACAACAACAAATAAAAGCACGTTATCGCGCTAATAAATAAATAATAAACAAATTACTATGACAGTATGCTACCTTTGGAATAGGCAAGTATTAAAGTTGTACAATTGGGTAATCCAAATACGTCTCCCGTGGACAAAGGTATGAGTGAAGCGAGTAAAGCTCGATGTTTATGTTTCCAGCAAATGACTGGATCGTTAGTTGGTGCGCCAACATAATTTCCCCATCTTATACCTAATAAAAGTAACTATTGTATAAGCATACTTTTGAAAGATAATGGATTGATTAATAATAGAGAAAAACATCATTTTTTTACAAAAACTTTTAACATATGTACAAGTTAATATTATATATATTATACATAATTTCTAATATTAAAATTGTTATTCACTGATACTCCTCGTTACCTTCAACGCCTTCGATAACGTAGGGAATATTAGTAGGGCCTGCAAGAGCAATATTTTGAATAGGTAGTGGATGCGAAGCTCTAAATAATTGCGCGGGTGTCTGACCGTATGTCTTGACCATAGTTTCCCACGCTTGTCTCTCTAATGGATCGGCAATTTGTTCCACATTGAATCCGTAGTAAGTCTGTAATGGTAGGAAAGTTCTATAATTTGTGCTATTAACTGAGCGTAAATGAAGAAATTAGGGCAGCTTATTCGTACGGCTGGGTGAAAAACATTTATTGCTTCGACAGCTGGTCTGCCAGTTTGACGGAAACCGAAAACCAAATCTATCCAAAATGGCAAAACTTCTCGAACAATTTCGGATTCGAGCGCGGCTCTGTGCGCCAATATAAACAGTCTTGCATCACCGCCACACCATTTAGGCAGCTCTACATCGCCGACCCGATTACCATTTTGCCTCACGCCGAAATTAAAGCCTAAATCAGTTTTTAAATCAATTTACAATTGTGCTTTAATTACATTGGATTATTAAAAATTGCAACGAACCTTCAAAATTCAGAAGAAACTCTGGTAAATAGAAAAATTCTGGAATAAGCTCTTTTACATCGGTCGTTGAATCGCAACTTGTCAAACGCCACGTTGTTGCTAGAGCGTGAAACGTCCTGTCCGGGATGTCAAAATTGTCATCTAATCACAATAGTTTATAGTTAATTAACGCGTCCTCTCCAATCAATGGCATTAAAAAAAAAAAAAAAAAAAAAAAAAAAACCAAAGTGATCGATTAAACGTTTACCTTGATAATTCAAGAACATACTCGTAAAGGGCGGAAGCCGTACCAAAAAATGTAAAACTGTTCCGGAATTGCTATAATGCGATCCGTAATGAAAGGGCTCCTGATTCAAAGCAACAAGATTTAAACCCTCCGACAATGCTTGCTTCAAATACTGAATAATAATGGAATAATAATTTTAATCTTTTTGAAAAATATAATTCAATTAATCATGAGATATGATAATAAAGACTCCATACGTACATTGTAATTATTAACATAATGCTGCTCGTTTTTCTTATCCTGCACAGCCATGGGGCGCTTAAAATTTCTGAAACATACGTAGTTTTAAGAGCAATGTTACTTCAATTTCAACCATTACGACGATTATTATCGCGATAGACATACCTATATATCTTCGGATTACTCAAATCAATCGTTTCACTGGTATAATCCGCAAGGACAAAGGGAAAAACTGGATACTGCATTAAATCATTGTACGAACGTCCGGCTAACTTGTTCAAACAAGTGACGTACTCCCAATTTGTTAATGCCCCACTGCGCCATAAAGCTAGGGCCTCTCCTAAATCATCCCCTGGGACGCGTCTTGGCAAATTACAATTCGAAAGCTCTAGCGCAAACTCGTCTCTTTCCTGCAAATTATCATCAACGTTATCAGCATACCATATTTTTTACCACATTTCATAGTATCTCGAATTTATTTAAATATGTCATGATAAGGCAAAAAGATAATAGAAAAAAAAAGAAGAAAAAAAACACCTTGGAAGAATTAAAGGCTAGTAAATATGTTCTGCCTGTTATTAGGAATATTTCGATTGCCCTTTCTTGAAGCTGATATCTTCGACGATGTAGCTCGCGTATATCTTCTAACCGCCAGGCTGTGCCACCAGCCATCGCCAAGTCTAATCCACCTAAGGCTATCTACGGAATACGAAAGGCCAACGTAAGGATTTGTACAACAACTTGTCTTAAAAGTCCTTATTAAAATTGTTTGATAAGAAAGAAGAAGAAAAAAAGCATCAAAGAGCTTCGAAAGTACTTTACTCGTTAGTCGTTGACTTACATCAGTGTGTAGAGGCATGTCGGGATTATCTGGAACGAAATAAAAACACGTTTCTCCGATTAAAGCTTCGCCGGGTAATTCGGCCTGTGGCGTCACTACCCTTGCTTGGGACATTTTCCTTATCCTCTCGGTTGTATGCAACCTCTCTATTAACGCAGTTGCGTTGGCGTCTTGTTTCCCACACGTAAACAAATATGACAGCGGAGCATCGAGCTTTGTTGCTTCTGCAAAATAATAATATCCGAAGCTTTGCATTAGAAGAAAAAAGAAAAAGATCTTTGATTTGTAATAAGGGGGAGGAGGAGGAGGAGGAGGAGGAGGAGGAGGAGGAGGAGGAGGAGGAGGAGGAGGAGGAGGAGGAGGAGGAGGAGGAGGAGGAGGAGGAGGAGGAGGAGGAGGAGGAGGAGGAGGAGGAGGAGGAGGAGGAGGAGGAGGAGGAGGAGGAGGAGGAGGAGGAGGAGGAGGAGGAGGAGGAGGAGGAGGAAAGAAATATTACTCAATTTATCCGTGTGCTCGTTGAGGAAGAATCGTTGGTCAATGCTGAGATGACATCGTTGCAATCTTATCCGGACTCTAGCTGGCCCCTCGGTCGGATCCAGTTCCCAACTGCTTGGATAACTATCGGGGAAGTGCCAAGGGGCTCTTTCGTGAGTCAATCTTCTGGCAATCTCACGCCACTTGGCCATAGCTTGAGCCTCTAGAGCTCGTGAATGCTTCAGTCGTTCCATGAGGACTTTGCGTTCTCGGTTCTGCTCTTCGACCACCGTTCGGGTTATAGCCATTGCGCTTTCCGTCAGTTGCTTCGCGAGCGCTTCGAATCTGCTGGATATACTGAAATATCGAAGTTAAAAAGATAATGCTTAAGGCAGACGATGGATGACGACGGACGAGATGGAATTATTATCCATTTACCGATGAATCACGGGCAGCTGATTTTCTATCCAAATATCCCTTTCCCTCATGAGCTCGCGACGCAGTAAGGTCAGTTCTTCTACCCAGAGCTCGGTATGGCCTTGCTCGATGGCTTTAGCTAAATCCCAAATCTTCAAAGCTTCTTTCAATTCGGCACATATTCGGGCATCGGCACTTGGCATCTCGTCCCTTCTTTGCAACAAATCCCAAAGAAACACGCTGAACTTTTGCTCAACCTGTACGAGTTGCATTGCATTAGAACTTTTACGCGATTACTTAAGAACGCGAAGTATGTTTGGGGAGGGGAGGGGAGGGGAGGGGAGGGGGACAATAACAAAAACAAAAAACAAATGTATATATGTATATATATATATATATATATATATATATATATATATATATATTCACGAGAAAAGTATCGATGGATTATCAAAGTATTTATTACCTGAGGATGCACTTCCAAGAGGGTCGATAAAATCTCACGAGTTTTTGGCTCCTCCATGAGGGAGCGCACAGCGTAAAGTCGAGTATTGTTACATTGATGTGGACTCATGAGCCAAACCATTATTTTCGCTGTATTCTTTCTTAATGCAGATTTAACGGACCACGTATTGATCCAGTAAGTTTTTTTGTTAAGTGGACTAGAAATACCATGTAAAAGAATAGAGAAGAGTCGTTTGGTTAGCTGTAGCTCGTTAGCTGAGACCGAACCGTCGGCTGTTGTTAAAAAATCCACGGCTCGATTAAGAATCAAACGGAAACGTTCGTTTGACTCGCCCTTTCCTGGCTCGCGCATCATCGTATTCGAGATAAGATGCAAACTTCCATAACTCGAGGATCGAGAGCCCTGGTCACTTTGTTCACTCGATGTCGTTAGCGCTGGGGCAAATTTTTCATCAAAACTCAATCATCGACGACATTAAAATTTCGAATGAATAATAAGCAGACAATTTGTTCAGTGAAAGTAACATTTATTGACAAGCGCGTAAACTCGTTAATTAATTTGGCGTTCAGTCATGTGGATGAGAATCTTACAAAATTTAATTACCAAATGATGTTTAATGAGGATTGACGCTAATTTATGATCTTAACGTACCGTTGGTCAAATACGATGCCGATGCCAAGTAAGAAGCGGTGCTCTTCAAACGAAATCCAGAATGATTGGATACTTTGGACGTGAGAATATCCAATTGGCCATCGAATAAAGCGACTTGGGCATCTCTCAGCGCGGGGACGCAGATTTTGTTAGATCCGCATTGGAACCTCTCCGTTAATTCGGCATGATTAAGAATGATGTGCAGATCGATGAGAGATTGCATATGATGATTTCCCGGCGAATCCAAAAGCTTGGTCGCTATAGCCACCAATAGAACGTGTATATCGCGGAATAAGGATGCGCAGGAGCCAACGTGCGCGGCATTTACCAAGCCTCGAACGACCGATTCCATCAGACCTTGGTCCAGTAAAATCCTTAGGGCGTGTTGATTCTTAAAAATTCCAGGCGTACAATCAATAAATGAAATATAATATATTAGTTAGAGAAGTAAAATGTTGATTGAATTTGTTTTGAAGAAGTTTTGACGCGACGCGCAATGGCATTGCTCGCGCATTACGGACAAAAATCTCCCGTCATTATTAAGTATGAATTACCTTCGTTATGAGATCGGTAACGAAAGACACGAGAGGCCTTGCGACATTTAGATCGGTAGCTGCCGCTTTTGGTATCATTGCTAAAATAGGTGGCATTGCGGCAAGACTCGGGCCTTTAAGCGCCAAATTCTCCAGAGTGACGACAAGTGGCTCGCTACCAGGATAAAGTGATATTTGATTTGCCAAATGTATGAAGTACTTCTGCTTAACAAATTTATTAACTTCCTCGTCGGTGGCTCGCTGCAAGTAAACCTGTATGACCTTTACGAGTGCCGTTCGTACTCGCGCATCGGGATTGTTCGATAAAATGAGCAACAACTCGACACGTAAGACGTGCCTCAACACCGATCCTACTTGACTATCGGGCAGGACGCGCAATGCGTCTCGCAAAAGTAGTAAGAGGCCTTCGCAAACTAAGCCCTGGCACGCTCGTTTCTTGTCCGACCAAATCGACTGTCCTTCGTTTACCTGCTGATTCGAGCCTTCGCTCGCTGCGATACCCGAATCTTCGCCGGCACTCGTATCTTGACCTTGCGACGACGTGTCATTTTCGACATTCGCCTCATCGACATCACGCTCCTTAATAATCTTTCCCTTCTGAATTTGTACATTTGCCAAAGCCTTGATTAATTTACAATTGTCGAGAGTACTGATCGATTCGCTCGATTCGCTCCCAACAAGACTCTGAAATGTTGAATATTAATATCTTATAAATTGTTTTTTTTTTATTTTTTTCATTTTTTTTTTTTTTGGTTTTGTTTTGTTTTATTTCCCCTCTCATTTCGCTTCAATTTAATCATCACCACGTACATATAATCAACACTTGCCTTTGTCGAGGATTTCGTCGTGTCCAGTGGCGTTAATAAGAAGTACATATTGTGCCGGGAGTGCGTTACGTATGTTTCGGACGCTTGATGAACGAGTATTAGATAATCCGTGATTAAAACTAAATGGGAAAATTCGGGTGGTGCGCCCATCAATGCTCTTATTAATTCAACAACGGCGCTTCCCGTGGTCGCATCTAGCGATACATTAACTTCCTCGTACATGAAGTGCTCCTAATGCAAAACACGATGAACAAGAATGAAGATTTACAAATGTAAAAATTAGGTTCGAAGGACTCGCTGCTGTATTACCTTGCACATGAGTAGTATCGTGTCGACGATCCGAATGCGATTCAATTGAGAAGCGTTGAACTCTCTTTGCGGATGTTGATCTTTCAACAAGCACAACATCGCCTGTAGCAACAAATTCAAAGCGTCGTACATCGCCCAAGTTCTCCATGCCTCGAGCGCGCATTTTATTAATTCTGGATCGGTGATGATTGCCTCGCAATTTAGAGATATCAAGTGATTCTTTGTGCCCGCGTCTTTTACGAGAATCGGGCAGTCGCATGCAGCATCTAAAATTGCTTTTAGCATGTGCTTACTAGCATAACAACGAGGGGATTCTAAAACTTTAAGGAGCAGCGAGGCTCCGCCCTCCGAGCGATATTGATTTAGCATTTCCGAGTCACTGCGCGCTAAATGTAAGACAACCGACAGTGCCAAAGCTTGCTCTTCTTCGTTTGAATTAAGCTCGACGACCTAAAAAAATTATTAAAATATTGACGACAACAAGTTGCAACATCTTTATTACGCGTTACATCATGCTGCTGGGAATCGAAAAAAAAGGAATTGAAACAACGTATCGATAGGCTAATTGTGCACGATGTAATTATTAATTTACCCACCCTCGCGAATAAATACAAGAAAACGGGCATTCCACCGATCAAACTCGCCGACGACACAAGTCCCTTATAATGCTGACATTGCAATTGCACTGGGGCAATTGGCGAAACAGAGAGAGGTGGCTGCTGAGATACTCTGTGTTCCGGGGCAGAAACAACTTTAAATCCAGGTTGACCAGGAAATAAAGTTTTAACAACTGCTGAGTAATAGAATCAATCAAAAGAAATAAATTAAAAAAAAAAAAAATAATAAAAAAAAAAATAATAATAACAATATTAAAAATGATGAGAAAGGCAGAGGTTTTGTAATGGAATATTTACCATTAGAATTGGCAACTGCTTGAGGATATAAATGCACGGCATTGGGATTTTGGGCCTCGTAAATAAGTAATAAATTATCTTGTAGATCATGTAAATGTGAGTTATTGGGATCCATAACCGAGTCCCAATCGATTTTCGTATCGGAGACTTTCATCTCAACCGCGTGTCGTAAGTACATGCCTCTAAAAGTTTTTCTTTTATTCGCATCACATTTTCCACCTTCTGGAAGATATTTGCATTTGAGTGAAATAATGATCAATTTATCTTATTTATTATTTTACAATACAAGCATAACTGACCAATTTTTATTTCCAAAACGCCGTTTAAGGCTCCTGAAGCAATGAGTGGTGCGAAATCCGGTTTAATATTACTCAGCAAACAATCGGCGAGATTTGTAAAATTTGGCCCAAGACTCGCGAGGTACAAGGCCTTTTCGTTATTAAATACCGGACATCTAAAAAAAATGTATTAATTAAGAATATTTGAATAACTCTGAAAGCATTAAATACCATTGCTGGCATACGTGTGCATGCGTGAGTGGGTGCGTGCGTGTTTTATAAGTATCACATTCGCTTAATAGAATTTTGTATTATATTTTAATAGCAATGTATTTTTATTGACAAAAATTTATCATTTAATTTAATATATAATTTAATTATTAGACGCTTCGATCTTCCTCTTATTCTTTATAAAAGAATAAGAAAAATTGCAAATATAATAAGTTGGATATCGTAATCAAAGACATATATATATATATATATATATATATATATAAAAATTAACAAATTACTTATTTTGTCAGGCGTGGTCAATATCGAAATATACATTATAAGTTAATGAAATGACAATTCAATTGGCGATTTGACAATAAATTGAAAATTAATAGACATTTGAAAAATATAAGCACAAAAATTTACTTTCCCTAAAATAATTATCATTCCATCGAGCGTATAATTTATTCACTAATTAAATAATTAATGTTGATTTTAAAGTAAACATCATTGTATTTCTGATGTAAAATTAACTAAGAATCTTTAATACCTGAATATCATTACGTTACTAAGATACCAAGCTCCAACGGCACTCGAACCTGTTTGACCAAGCAAAATACACGTAGTTCCTGGCTTTCTAATTAAAAGTCCATCGAACGGTAACTGGACTCTAATTTCCTTCCACCCGTCTACCCAAATGACAACTTCAACAACAGCACTGTGCTTATTAAGCACGGTATCTTTAAAGTTAATTGCCAAATGATGCCAGCGCCCCGATGGTAACATTCCATTTATCGAAGTTTCCGAAATAGTGCGATTTGTTTTGTCATCGGGTCGAGTGAGGCGTAAAATGAGTTTATCTGTTAAATTAAAAATCGTTCGCTGCTACAATGCGTACAATACTTAATATATTATTATTAAAAGTTTTTCAAATACCAGATCTCAAGTCAAGCCACGTTTCTAAAACTAGCGACTCAAATCCAATGGACATCATATGAAGAATAGAAATAGGTAAAGGTGGAGACGAAGAGCCCATGACAACTGAAAAATAAAAAAATATTTATTCGACATTAATTGCTTTTGAGGTATACAGATAGACTATTGCCATAGTAATGTAATTATTTTCAAAGTGATTGAAATAGTAATTTATTTATGAGAAACACCTAGTTAAAAGTCTACTTTATTTATTTATCGGCACATCGGAACGGACTTTAAACGATAACGATACGAGCTTAATTTTGTCATTATAAGTACATCTATATCCAATATTGCCATTTTTTTTTTTTTTTTTTTTTTTTTTTTTTTTTTTTTTCTTTCCATCACCTTCTCGACTCCAGTTGTCGGATAGTAAGCCCCAATCCGATAAACTATCACTCTCGGAATTCAATAAATTATTGTTCTCGCTCATCATCTGCAAACCCCTGCTGCTTTTGTTCGAATTGCCACGCTCCACGCGAAGCCAAAGCGATGCCGAGCAGCCTTGCAGCCAAACTGGCCACGACATTTCCGATCCAATGGGTAGGCATATAGCGTGCACCGACCAGGGACTGCATATCTCTAAAACAAGATGCTTCCTGCGGAAATTTGTCACAAGATTTTCAACCTTTTCCACATTTCTATTATCTTCGTTATTGCTTTTTATAATTGCAGGCTCCTCGCTCACTACGGGAAAGGATAGAATGAAATTAGGCTGAGGCTTTGCCGTGAGTACGAGACGGAATAGCGGCTGCAGTAGCGACAGAAGGGGTGGCAAAGGAACTTTGAATAATGCAAGATACGATATCAATTCCGTAGGGGATATAGACTGCATGGCCAATAGCGTGAAAACTTCGAGTGCGGCGTGTTGTAAATCTGGAATGACGAAATGGCAATTACATAAATAAATTGTCACTATAATAAGGAGATAAATATGGAGGCTCGCGGGGCCCACGGCAATTCTATCGTAGCACCTTGATATTTGGAATTTTTACATTGAAGAATATCTCTAAAACCGTCGAATATTCGCCCGATAACGCCCGTACCAGCCAATATAGCACAACTAAAGGCGCTCTCTTTGCAAATAATTGCTACCTTCCTCAATCCACTCGTAACGATGGCGATCCTCTCCTCGTCTAAGCCCCTGCGAATCATAATATTTGCCGATTAAGTAAATACTTGGAATAAACGCTTAACTTTGCTAATAGATACGTATATTGATTGAGCTTACTGTTTAGAAAAGTATATTAAGAGATCGATGGTTAGGGAGCAGAGGGCTGGATGAGCATTAGCGTTCCCTTTGATTGCTTCCGATGTAGCGCTAAATTGATTTATTCGCTTTGACAAAAGGCCTTGAGAATTTTTTACAGGGACTTCGATATCAGCTTCGTAACCGTCGTCCGCGGTTATGTATTCCCCGGTGCTACTGTCGTCGGCTTCGCCCCAATCCGTCGAAACATCCATTGCCATAGTCGACAGCTAAATATGATATCAAGAATTTTGTAGTCGTAGAATTTGTTGGCAACGAAGCAAAAAAACAAAAGAAAAAAAAAGAAAAAAAAAGACAAAATAAAAGAGAAAAAAACAATAAAAATTTTTATTAAATTTCTTTTTTGTGACGAATGAGATTGATTGAGAGGTTCACGTGATTTTTGTAAAAATTATTCAATTGGCTAGCATCGTACTCTCGTTCGATTTTGTAGAGGAGGAATCGTTTGCTCTTGACTAGGTCTCAGCATCGAAACTTGCAAAAAAATCTCCACCAATGCGCCAATCCCACGACTTAATTTTATATTCGAATCCATCAATGCGGCACCAAAAATCGTAACTATATTACATTCATCTGGAAAAAGAAGAAATCAATCAACCGCTAACCCCTTCCAGCACATTAACTCCTTTTATATACAACAACAATAACAAACAAAGAAAGAAAAAACAGAAAAAACGTTTTAGAAAAATCGTGAGAATTATTATTATATCGCGATTATCGACATAATGTTGATGGGAGAAAGATTTTTCCGCTTACTTGAAATTGATGCAACTAGGCAGCACGTGACTACAGCTTCCATAACTCGGAGGGCAAATTTATTTCCACCTGAAGAAAGGTCAGATTGGTGAATTGTTTTAAAATGTCAATCTAAACAGTGTCATCGATTTTGCCGATTTTTCATCACTTTAATAAGAGCGTATTAGTGCGAGTTTGCACGCATCGATGATTATTAACATATCGAAATGATTAAATATTTCGAAAATCTCATTCGCTATTATTATAAAATTACATTGAAACTGCTCGTCAACTCGTATTACGTAATAATGATTTATGTTAATTGGATGAGATTAGAAGTTTTTGAATTACCGTTAAATCGATCGGTAGCAATGGCGATTGCCAATGATTCGGCAAGATTAATCGAATTGTCAAAAATAGGATTGTTTTTGAGCTCGGTTCGAAATTTCGGGCTGCAAAGTAAAACTCCGGCTGTCGCTCTCCAAACTCCGCTGGCCTGATGAAATGCCGCACGTTGCTTCAGTCCCTCTTCGTTGCCTTGACAATTTTCACCATTATCGGGCAAATATCGCAGTATCGACAATAAAGCGATCGTTTCTTGTTCTAGAAAATGGAATAGAGCGGTGGCAGCTGGCCTCTTTGAATTTGTACTTTTCTCCTTATTCCCTTCGTTAAATTCGATGCCCTTAATTTCCATTATCACCGAAATTTCCAATAGGGCATAAACACTTTTAACGAATGCTTGATTGGGTAGTAAATTAAGCACCTTATCCAAGCCATCTAATTCTATGAACTTTTGGAACATAATCGGATTGACGATTAGGCTCGTAATGGCCGATAAACAGGACTGGATGAGAAATTTTATTGTCATAAATTCGGTATTAGTGCGCTCGAACGAGGCCTTCGCCTTAATAAAAAGTGGATAAAATACGCGAAAAAGCAGCTCCTGCTTGACGGCGGCGGTCGAGTTTGGCACAACTTTGAGCAAGTGTCGTATTATAATGTGGCACAATTTTTTGTCCTCTGGATTCAGCAGCTCGACGTAAAAGTCGAGAAAGTCCCAGGAATAAATATTGAGAGCGCTGCAAGAATTGCAAGTCTCGTGAGTGCGTGAATAGCCACCCAATTCCTTAAATATCGTTCTCTCGATGAGTGCGGTTGCGAAACAATAGGCCCGGCCGTTTCCCTTCTTGAGAAATGTTATTATACTGGCGAGTAGGTACTTGGGTGGAAAGCAGCAGCAGGTGCCAGCCGTTGTCATGACTTTAATCAATCGAATTTGCAGCTCGCTGTTAAAGGTGGGGGTCTCCTTAAGGAGGGAGGTTAGCGTCGAGAATAATGACGATATCGAGCAAACGGGCTTGGACAACGAGGCTCGAGCGGTGACCAAGTGAGCGGGCTCGGAGAAATATGGCGAGCCAAGAATGTCCAAGTGATGATGAGAGTAAGTGGCCTCGTCTTGACCGATGCATGTCTTGTGTTTATGACGTCGGCAATGATTCGCCTGACTCAAATCTTGCTTCATGCGCTTCAACGTACAAATTAGCGCACCGATCATATCGATGACTTTGCTGGCTCGGTCGATTGACTTGTTGGAATCGTTATTCGGCAATTCAATAAGAACTAGGATAATCCTCTCGACCAATTTGCCCTCCTGGCTTTCGATAAACAATTGAAAGAGCTCGCGAAAGTCCTTGAATTTCTCGGCACTGCCCCTTTGATGGAGTAGAAAGTAAAGAAACGTAATGACAGCGTGCGTCGTTGCAAATATCAATTCCTGTAGTAGAGAGCCCTCCTCTTTGGTCATTGAATTGGCAATGGGTTTAGTGCAGGCATCCTCGAGTAGTCTCAATGTCATGGGTAGCAGTCCATTGTGAATAATGACGGTGATGGGCTCGTCGGCTTGGAGGACTCTTTCCAAGCCCGATAGCATGAGTCGAGCCGTCGCGGCTTTTAAAGTTGCGCACTCGAGGACGGAAAACGCGATTGATTCGTTACTGAATTGAAGCGTCCAGAGGGTATCCAGAGCGACTTTAAGAACCGGCATTGCTATGTTCGACTCCCTCGACGTCGCGTGCTCTTGCAAGGCTAACAACAATTGAATAAGCAAGAGGCTCAGCTCAAATTGACTCACATTACAATCCATAACAGCTTTCATGCGCTCGTCTATCGTATCCTCCCACGCACTTTTCCACGTACTGTTCAGGTTTCTCGACATTTCAACGAACTCGTAACCGCAATTTGATCTATCGTAGCCGCAGAACTTGGAAAACTGCCATACCTTTAATCGCTCGTCCTCGCTATGGACGACCGACGTGAAATATTCAAAATCAATGGGATTGAAACGAATTCGAAAGGTTAGCGAGCGGTTATGATCGATGGCGTCACTCAACAATTCGGACTCGCTGCTTGGATTTTCGCTGAACGATTGCTTGGACTGATCGTGCTGCTGATGATTGTCTATTACGGATTTATTGGCCATTCGGTAATAATTGATATTGTTGTTGCTACGTCTTTTTCTTCGACGGCGCAGTGGCGATTCGTCTGTAATTTCCGACTCCTTTGTTATCAATCCCCTTTCTTGTACGCTATTATTACTGCCGTTGTAGTGCTTATGTCTTTCCTTTTTCCTTTCTCTTTCATCCTCTCGCTGTTTTTTCCCTGCTCACACAATGAATAATTACAACAGATGACTTTAATACATTTGACAGGCAAAATTTAATATAAATGGCAATTTTATAAGCTTCGTTAATTTATTATCTCTGCGACATGCGTTTTATATGGAAATTTATCAATAATACCTTATCTTTTCATTTCTCTATTCTTTCGTTTTGGCATTTGTTTTTGTTTTGTTTTGTTGTTTTGTTTTGTCGTTTTTTTTTTTTTTTTTTTTTTGTTTGTTTTCATCGGCAATTTAAAATATGGCCAACAAGAGTGAAATTAAAAGGAAAAAAATATATATTCTCAACTGTAATTTTAGTATTGAAAAGAAAAATTTTTAAATATAATTCAAATATTTAGCGCGATAAACCTAAAGTAGAGTTGAATGATATCTCAGGCCTAAATAGTAATATCCGTAGCTTAAAAAGTAACGAAGATTAAATCATTCCTCTTGAAATATATCGAGATAAATAACGGAAAAAGATTATCACGCTCTTATTTCGTTTCTGGTACTTTATTTACTAACGGAAAAAGATTATCACGCTCTTATTTCGTTTCTGGTACTTTATTTACTATCTCTCTCTCTCTCTCTCTCTCTCTCTCTCTCACGCTCTCTCAGTTGTGAGTAATTACAAATATTGGCGCACAATGTCGCAGTGAATCAAGAAAACGAGTATCAGAATTTATCGATATAATTAATTGACCTACGTACCGGTGTTTATTTTCCTCCTTCTCCTCCTCCTCTTCTTGTGCAACATTATGTCGAGGGTGTCGAGGGCATCGAGGCAGTCGTCGTTAGGATAAGACCTGAGGTAAGGATTGCGCGAGCCAATCTCGACCTCGTCTACGTGGTGGATCAAGAAGAGCGGGTAGAGGGCGACGAGGAGTGCCAGGAGCTCCCGTACGCAGGTTAACTCGCGAACTCCGAGCAATTGAAGCGCCGCGAGACATCGCCAACCTCGCTGGTTGTTCAGGTAACGACGAAGGCTAACCAGCTCGAGGCCAGAGTTACCTATGCTATTCGGGCCCGTGATCTCGCACAGCTGATGCACGTCCGCCAGGAACTCGCAGCATACGAGCGTCGCGATATTGCCCTCGCCGACCCAACTGTCAAGGTCAAACAGACTTTTTAGTAAACTACGTTATCGGCTCCGATTTCCGATGTACAACTTATTCTATGGTATGTATGGTAATTATGCATCATTTATTTATTTACGATCTTTTACTGACCTATTAATAACAATTGATATCATACATCGAACAAGTTTTAAATTACAATAAAAACGTGTAACTTTGTACAAATTTCCGTAATAATTGACTATTTCGAAAAGATATTTAAGAAATACGTTGTCTTTGGCCATTGCTGTACCAAATCAAGAAACTGACTTCTCGTTTTCTTAAACAAACTTCTTTAACGATTACTTTTACTTTGAAAATCTCTACTTAGTACATGCGTTGAGTGATAATGATAAAAAAAAAATTTTTAATAAATAAATACGTAAAAAAACAAAATCAAGATAGACGAAATGTCATTGTCATACATCTCTTAAATAACCGAAATGAATATAATCTTGATTTATATGTTACGTAGTTGTTATAAGGTGTGAAATTTCTGTGAAATGGCTGAGTCTCGCGTTAACCATAATCATTAAAATGTTCGATAAAAACTTATTTCAGTATAAGTAAAACAAACAAGAAAAATAAAAAAGTAAAAAAAATACAATAGATTTATCATGAAATATATGTATATTATCTTCCCATTTAACTTATCACATTTAAAACCTGAAATATGATTTATCCGGTGTTGTATCGCAACAGGCAAACAAACTACACTGGGGTTGAACGAAAAAATATTCACAAGACTAATAATACAATGCTCGTTGCAATCAAAACCTATTAATAGATGCAAAGATAATAGCAAAATTATATAGATTTGTAAGTGAATTAAACAATTGTCTTATATATATTATATCCAAGCTCATCAGATAATTCTAACGACAATCACATTATATTTATTCATACAAATATATAAACAAATTTTTAAAAACTTTTAAAATATATTGTCTGCTCAAGAATTGTACTTTGGAAGGTTTTACGATTCTCGTAATAAAATTGTCCAACAGCTTTTGACCAATGAACATTCAACAAAGACTTAATTACGTGATTATACTTACAAGACATGATTAATTCAACGCATTTATATATAATTAATTAGTATTTTTGCATGCAGAAGTATTTTTTAGAATAATCCTAAATAATTGTATCGAATTAATTTGCAATATAACATAAAATAATAATAGCTGATCGTAAACTTACAACATACGACAATAAATAGAAAATCAATTAATCAAATTTTTCGCATAGAGCACAATTAGAAGATGCACATTGTTTTGTATTTCACCAATGAATTTAAAATTTGCACATTTGGTATTATGCACTGTACTCTTTGATTATTCTTACAAGTACAACTTTTTTGTTTATTGGTTCCAAATTTGCAATAATAAATTAATAAAAAAAAACGACAATGAGATTAAAAGATCGATAAAAATTATATCACTTGCTAAATAATTAATCATGCAATGCAAATTCATATTAATTTCCAAATATATATGAAAAAAAAAACAAAAAAAAAAAACATTAAATATTGATAAATTCAAGAAATGTACATAGCAATAATTTTATCAATTGAATAATGATAATTTTCCATTAGACAAGTACTTGATAAAGAGACATTGTTATATATCAATAAAATTTTCAAATTATTTACAATAATAATGTACATAAAATTGAGAATAAATACAATAACGGATAAACACATTCTTGATATATAATTTTATATCGATTTGAAGTGTTATAAAGTAATAAGAAATAAAAGACGAAGTTTGAATTTTATTTTTATAATAGAAGAATATATTAAATAATAATTATGACCGGACGAAGATAATTGCGCACCAAAAGTTGCACACCAATTTATAAATTAAAGACAACAATAATATTAATATTCTTTTTCTATGCCACTTCATTGCATACGTGTGTGTACTTGACAAATATAATTTCATCAAATATAATCAAAATAATTCTGTAATTAAGGCTCGTGCATCATTGATATACTATAAATTATTATTTATTTGTTATGTATGTTTTGCATCGCTGACTTTTTCATAATTTCAATTTATTTATATATTATTCATTAGAATATACGTTAGAGGTAACATTCTCGTTATATTACATAAGTTAAGAGTAGAGTTGGGGAAAAACGCGATCATTTGTATCCAATGTATAACAACAACAACAACAACAAAAATACGAAAAAATAAGTATATACTATTAATTAATTTCATGTAATTAGTGTTAATTAGATACAGAAGTAACTCTATCGATGTGCTTTAATGTGTCGTAATTAAATTATCAATGTTTCGCGTATGTTTGTATACAAAATTTTCACTGTGAACAAACTATAATACAATATATAATTTTACTATTAATCAATTAAATGCTAATAGTATGAGCCGAATTTGCTATTATTTTGCTAAAACTAATAATACGCCAATTTATTAAATTTAATTAATGACAGCATTTGTTATTATCCCTTTGTAAAAAATTTCAATTATCGTCTTTTTCATTAACGTTTTCATTAGGCCTAATTATTTTATTTTTGTGTTTCTTGTCTAAAATCAATTTTATAAAGATTTTAGTATAGCAATAACTTCAACATAATTAATTTAAAGACTTACAATTATTATATACTTTATAAACATTATTGATTATATATTTTAAGCATAAAATAAAATTCATCCATTAACGTTAATATGCGCTATAATAATTTCGAATCTTTTATTTTCAGAGGAAATTAATAAACTTGACCGACTTTTTTTTTTATTATTACTTAATATACCTATTGTCACATTATTATCATATCGTCTATCATTATTAAAACATTTGCTCACTGGATTACGCCGAAGCTAACATTCTTTATAATGGGAACTGAATCTTTAATACAAATAAGCCAATGATGCTGATTTTTATAAACTTTTTGACATTCATTGAACTAAAAGGGAAAATATACAAACTCATTTAGTGAAAGCACACTCTTCGCAAGTAATGTACGCTTTAAAATTTCATGATTATCTGATCGCTCGCTCACTTATCTAGCGACTACTTCACAGAGAAGGTTTTACTTGTGATAAGGTATTGACGTCTGCAAATAACTTTACCATCAATGAGCTGAAAATATTCCATTCTACAGTATCATCATTTGCTTTGTTTCACTGGGCATTTTAAAACTATTTATATACACATAAAATATTTATAAAGACGATAGCTGGCAAATTAGCTTTAAAACAATAAATACGTAACAAAGCTCACATGCCAAGCTTTATACTTAATTAACTAATTATACGAACGTAATACTATACATTGTTAAAGAACAAACTTGATCGTTTCTCTTAATATCTATAATCTTTTCCGCTATAATTATTATATTTGCACTCAATGAGATAATAATGTTTTAACAAAATATTATTATTTCAATAAACAATAGAGTTCTCCCCCTTCTTACTTTCAATCGTAATTTATTTTATCATTAAAATTCTTCGCCCAGTACAGTTCTTAGATAAAATGTATGTATAATTGATTGTATTTTTAGTTAAAGAGAAAAAGCATAAGCTACTGTCATTATTTTGTTTTTTGTTTTTGTTTTATTTATTTATTTATTTTTTTTTTCCAATACTTTCTTTATTCAAATTAGAGGCCAAAAAAATACATAATATACTCTTCCATTGTCTATATTCAATTTTTGTTTTTAAATTAATTTTCTGTAAAAATTTTAATTTTACTTATATTTTCCGTTTTCTCAATTAAGAATGTAAATGAAAAATTAAAAAAAAAATTATTGCAACCTTGTCACTCGTAATTTCTTATTATATATTCAGTACCGAATATAATACTTTGTCCAAATATATTTACAGTAATATCATATATATATATATATATATATATATATATATATATATTAAATATACAAGTCAGACTATGAATATTGTTTTCAATAATTATCCACTCTTATATTTCATAATAAATTCAGTTAATTATTTTAATAAACGCAAAAGAATTTGAGATTACTTGTTGAATTAAAGAGCTCATTAAAATATCCGCTTATCATCGGTGATATTTAAGGCTTACAGTGTATTATAAAAATTAAGATTTAATTTGACTACTATCGAGTGAAACAAAAAAGTCATTCGGTTAGTCATTAACTTCTTTTATATATTGCTTAATTATGTTTACGATACTACGGCATTTCTAAGTATTCGAATTTTAATATAGAATATTAAATTAATACAAGATACTTTATTTACGATGTAGGGTGAAAGTTTTGATACATGCTGCGGAAGGAAATTTTAATATGTCATGTAATATGTTTCAATTTTATATATTTAAATTTTAATATTTTCAATATTTGTTCATACCATTTTCAAGTAAACGAATACACTATTGTTTTCGTGGATCTTTTTTTTCAAACTTTTGACTGTCAAAAAAGTAGTTTTGCCTAGAGCTGGATGAAGCAGTTTATTCCTAATTCCCAAAAATTATAATAATTTTTTACTTAAAGATTGATAAACTTTTTTTTTTTTAGTATTATTCTCTTATAATACTAATAATTAAAGTGGTGTTTAATATTCATTAATAGGAATGGATTTCAACTCTATGTTACTACTCTCAGACTTTTCCTATTACGTATCCTATTATATAAGTATTAAAACAGTATTCATACTATAACATGTGCTAAATACTTTTTTGCAGTTATAACTTGAATTTAACTATGTTACCCCATATGAATACCTCAAAATTTTCATATCCTAACATAGGATATGAAAAATCCTCAAAAATCCTTAAGAAGTACTAACATTAATGTTTCTTTTATATACCCACTTGTTTCTACATAACTTGACAATGTGAGTTTTTTTTTTTTTTTTTTTTTTTTTTTTTTTTTTTTAATCTTGGAAATCAATGGAATCTAATATAATAATTTAATTTAAATCGATATAATTAAAAAAAATATTTTCTAAAGGTAAAGTGTATCTAAGCAATGTATTGAATAGATCTTTTAAAAAGCAATCACGAACGCATCAATCATTACATCTTAATCATCCAGT